AGGTTCCAGCCACTACCCTGTAGTAGAACCACAGACTGGTGCCCACCTGCCATCTCTCTCTCTCTCTCTCTTTCTCTCTCTCTCTCTCTCTCTCTCTCACACACACACACACACACACACACACACACACTGTTGTTTCCATCATCCTAATGGCCTGTGGAGAGCCACAGCGATTGTGGGTCACCACACCCCACCACGCACCATGGCGATCCATCACTTACCTTCTAAGAGACTGGAACTCCTGCCGGACCACACGGACAAGACTAATAACATACCTTGAGGTCACTTAAGACTGCCACGCCTTTCATCCCGGCACTCAGGGAGGCAGAGGCAGGCTGATGATCACTGTGAATTCAAGACCAACCTGGTCTACAAAGTGAGTCCAAGGCAGCCAAGGTAACACAGAGAAACCCTGTCTTGAGAAAACGAAACACCAAAAAAGGCTGCTATCCTACTGCGTATTCAGCCTTTCTTTAACCTGCCTTTTAGAGAACAGTGTAGCTACCAACCTTTCTTGCCTTGCATTTCCCATGCAACAGTGTTCACAACCTAAGATTATGCACTGCTGTGATCTTATGTACTGTTCGGAGCCCCGACCCACAGTAATGCAAGTGTTTATTTATGTTATAGTAATAAATGCCAGAAACAGGAAATAGGTTGAAAGTGACCTTATGAAACAAACATCTGCCATAAATGGTAAAAGCAACATACAAATATTGTTTGTAATCTGGGCCAGTTGAGGCCAGTTGGGAGTCAGAAAAATTTCATCTCTGGGGCAACTGTGTGAAGATACCTCTGTAAAGTACCCATATTCCTTCTCCGTGTGATGCTTTCTGTGCTGTTCAGTAAATACAGAGGAAAAATGCTTTGTTAGGGACACACAGACACAGATACGGATACAGGGACAGACTCCTAAGACAGCATTCAGGCAGGCAGAGATTAGACTCAGCCAACATCCAGGCAAAGATGGAAGACCAGGTTGGAGGGGGGAAAACAAAGAATTCAAATCCAGGTTCACGCTTGGGTAAATTACACCAAGGGAAAGTGCTTTTTAGTTTCTTTCCTGTAAGGTGACACCGATGCATTATTGGTGATTCTGAGTTTGTTACCGATGTGTTTGAACCAGCACACCGCCTGCTCTCAGCACTGGCGAGGCACCTCGGGTCTACCTGAAGTCACTGACTAGTGAATGAGGGCCGAAGAACTGGAACCCGAGGTAACAGTGGCAGGAACTGAGCCCTTTGGAAATGAGTGCAGGAGGCGGCGGCTGGGCCTTGGGCATTCTTAGCCTTTCAGCCAGTGTCCTGTCAGCCATACCCAGGGTGTTCACCACAAATCAGGAGCTGGGACACGCGTCACTTTATAGAGAGGCCCGGGTGTCTCAGGCACAAATTATGCAGTAAACTAGCATTGACTTCTGAACATGTTTATTTTTCTCCTGCCAGCTGTGCCCTTGAGGCAGGTAACTGGAATTAAAAGTGTCTGGCTGCTGAGTAACACGAAGCACACCTGAACATTGCCCCGCCCACTTCTCCCTAAAATGGGAAACCTTGTATGCAAGGAATCCTTTGCACCTAACGTAGAAGCAGGATTTGTTTTCCTTGGCTTGCTGCCTCTCTGAAGTGCTCGCTAGTTAGCTGTGCAATTAACCGCAATCCTGCGGGAGCGGAGAGGCTCGAAGAATTTCCATTTGAACCTGAAAGAAGCTGGACAGGAAGACACTGCCAATCCAACCCTTGAGAAAGGGTAGCAGGGCTCTCTGGCCTGACAGGAGTGAGAGCGGCGGACTTGACCACCTTGGCTCTCTCCACGCTGTGGGCCCCAGAGGACTCTTCACCATGGCCATGGCATCCTCACTGCCTCCTTAATTTCCTTCCAGCTTACAGCCTTGACCTCAGTGCAGGGCCTGGCATCTCTCCGTGGATTAAGCATCATCTCCACGCAGGAGTGTCCTCACGTCATAGCTTTGTCACCAGGAGAAGAAATTCCACATGCTCCCCTTCTCTTCCCCAGGCCTGAGATCCGGCTGTGCTCACCTTGCTGGCTCCACACCCATCCTCTGCTCTGGCCACTCAGAGCCACACCACATTGAGCGTCCTTCCACGTGTGGTTGTGTCTTCTGAACCCTCCATCCTGAAACCCTCCGCATAATTCAGACTCAGCCTCTGAACTTGTTTCAGCCGCACTTCTTTTGTGACCTTTCCTAAGCCTTTCCTAAGTGACCGTCATGTCCCTGTCCTGGGTCAGGCCTCTTCTTTGCCCTATGGGGCCCCTTGTTTTCTCTGTCGTGGTGTCTCTATACCATAGCACACACCCTGTTATCTTCACTGTGCCTTAAACCTGGGCTCTGGTAGTCACTAAAGTATCATCTGTAAATTGAATGCATTCCCTGACCAGCTTTCTTGTCCTAGGACCATCGTGCAGTGCACCCTGATGCCCACAAGGAGGCAGGCCGCCTAGTGGGGCCTTGCTGTTTCTCAGCTCCTTCTCACTGTCTTGAAACCGCTCCAGCCGTTCTCAGAAAGCATGACTAAAATTGGGCATTTTTTTTCCTCATTGAAATAGAGCAGGGCTGCTGTTGTCAGAAACTATCATAGATTCTGTTTGTCCGTAATAATGCAGACATTATTTTTAAAATGACACGTGTTACCACAATGAAAAGGACAGAAGTTCATGTGGGAACTTCCTCTGCCCCCACTTCAAATCTGGGTTTGCTCATTCACAAGTTTGGGAAGATGCAGGTAGGAAAGACTGGGACAGAGAATAATGCTGGTCTGCCTTGGTGGCCTCTAAATGTCTACTATAGCCCTGGTCCCCAGGACTGTGTGCGGAGGAAGGAAAACACAGGGTAGGACCCCAAGGCCTGGTGGATGATTTTTTTCTTGTGAACTTTTTATTGGGGTTTATCATGGGTTGTGGCTGTCACCTAAGGTGTCCCCTGCTGTTACAAACCCTCCCTGCAAGCCTCCCTCGTCTTCTGCAAGGTGCAGAGATGCCTCCTCTCCATGCTCTGCCTGCACAGTGCTCTAAATGCCAGGAGCTAGGCCCCAGCTGAAACAGTGAAAATGAAATTGAAGGAAAAAAAAATGACACACACGCTGTTTCTTGGCATTCTCGGGAACTGGATGTATTTTCTGCATTTCTGTGGAAGGGTGTGTGAGCCAGGCTATGACTGGCAGGCAGACTTTGTTCTGATACCTCAGTCTGCGGGGAAAGGGGGCTGGATGTCACGGATGCCAACACTGAGCCTCCTGGAGGGAAGCCTAGAACCCTAGGCCTAGAACAAACAGCCCTTCACTCTAGCAGTCTCAAGTCTCTGGCCCCATTTCCAGGCCTGTGGGAGAACAGGGATGGTCAGGCGCTTGACCCAGATAGGCCAGGCACCAGCATTGGTGGGCTGTCCTAGGAATCCTGTGACACAGCCAAGTACCAGGACACACTTCATGGACAGCTTAGGGAGGCACACATGCAGAATCACAGGCAGGTCTCCAGTCTGGCCCAAAGCCAGGCTCTGTCGTTTCCTGGCTCGCTCATTTAGAACACAGGGCTGGCAAGGTTCATCTCATGGAGTTTTTGTGAGTATTAAACTACTTTGCTTTCAATTACCTGACACTTAACAATTCATAACCATTGGTCGCAGCTACTTTCAAGCAGGATTTGGCTCCTCCCCACCCCCGGGCAAGGAGCCAAATGATGAACTGATTAAGACTTTCTACAGTCAGACGTATTTTAGGGCTCACTGATAGGCTGAGCCCCTCACACATCAGCGACAGCAAAGACAGGTCTACCAAGGAGCCCACGCAGATATTCAGGGCGTGTAGCACGGTCAGGTGGAGCCTCCACCCCATGAAGATGTCCCATGAAATGAAGTTGGTCACAACTGCTGCCCCCTATGCCGGCAGGGACCAGTCTCTTGTGGGTGGGCCCAGGCTTAGGCACTCGGTGCCCAAAGTGGCCCTGAGATGCAACAGGCAACGGGCTACCCGCTTCTCCGGGTGCTCCCGGGTCGGCTAGAAAGAAGAACTCAGGTGAAGGTGAAGGTGATGAGGGTTGCGTGTCTGGGTGACCGTGGTCTCCTGTAGCTATCAGCCTGGAGGACAGGTAGAAGGTGAGGGGCTGGTGACAAGGAGCAATGTCACGCCTGAAGACAGGGCTGTGATCTGGTCAGATGGTTCTGGATAGCATGGACAAAGACTGCGGATGGGTCAAGGTTCTTTAGGGAACATCTTTTCCAGGCCCAGGGTTATGGCCATGAGCACAGGTCCCCAACTTGGCAGACTAGCAGATAACTTGCAGGATTCTCCTAGGGGCTTGGTTTAGCTAGCACCTTGGGTTATGGGATGGCTTTGCCCAGGAGGGTCTGCAGCTTCCCACAGTAGCTAAAATCAGTCTTCTGGGCTCTGAGCTGGGCGGCCTAAGACACAGACACCAGCGTCCTTTGGCGGCTGTAGTTTATGGCAGAGCCGGAGAGAAGCTGTGCAGGGCCCTTGATATGTGGCCAGGGTTTTGCTCTCAAGTGATTCCCTGAGATGCAGCCAAGGCTCCCAACTGAGCCACTCACGGGTCTGGAACCCAGCTCTCTGCCTCCGACATTCCTCCAACAAGGGTAGCAAGGTCTGGCTCCAAATATTTTCTCTCTACCCATTCCCCAGGCCAAGTTGCTTGACCTTCTAAGCCTCAGTTCCCCCCCTCTGATCGGTGGAGACTATAAAGTCTTGTTATTAGAGCCGAAGGGTGGTGAGTGATGGGATGCACCCAGCACAGAGTTCACCATGGGCGGGGGTCATGGGCGGCTTGGTCACTGGTTGACGTCCTGGGGCCGCTGTTTAAAGCTGTAGTAGAGTATGTGGAAAAGACCCCTTAGAAAGTCTTTTCACACTGTTTGCAGATTAGAGCACACTCCTCCTGACATCTACTGATGGAGGTCATCATAGCTCTTCTGTGGTAGCTGGAGGGTTGGGGAGGAGAAAGGGGAGGCCAGAAGGATCACATCAAGCTCGTCATGATCTCCAAAGCGTTTATTAGGGAGATAGCATCTACAGTTGACTGACAGGGCACAGGGTCATGGGGATGTAACAATCCTGGGGGGGGGGGGGGGTAGAGAGGACGGGAGCCTGTCAGGGTGTGGGAGGGTTCTCTCCTCCCCAGAAGGCACTGGTGGGCGAGCACCCTGGAGCAGGGGGTGGGGCCTATACACACAGGGCTGGCAGAATACAGGCAATCTCGAAGCTAAACATAGCCGGCCAAAGGTGAACAGTGTCTGTCTTGGGGCCACAGCTGCTCAGGGCTCCTCTGGACACGAAGGAGAGGCCCCAGAAGACAGGCAGAGCTCAGGAAGAACAGCCTAGCCTTCCATCTTAGTGTTTTGTGCAATTAAAACAACAACAAAAAAACAAAATAAATATAACTTAAACAACTTCCTAAAGGGCATTACAGTCTAGTCTGGGGAAAGCGGTTGAAGCAGCCTTCGGAGTGTGCAAAGCAGGGCTGACCCCCAAGAAATCTGGTGGCCCAAGAGCAGGAGGGCCCTGTGGACCCTGAACATAGGTACATGCACATAGGGCCCATGTCCCAGCACCTGTGTGGCCGGGACCTTGGGAGTCTCCACCAGGTCTGTGAACATGGCTTATCGGACTGCCAGAGGTTTTGGGAAACTCCATCTGAGCTCTGTCCATCCCAGTGGGGCAGGAAGGAAGGGCCTCTGGCAGCATGGAGGTGGGTTGAGAAGCTACAGTGTGGGTGCTAGCATGGTAAATACAAAAACCCAACTGAGCAAAGCACCCTGGCAACAGAACCCCAGAAAGACACCTTTCCACGCCTCTTTCCCGCAAGGCACTGCCCGGCATCGTCCCAAGGCTATTGCTAACTGGCCCCCAGTCACAGCATCTTAGCACATTACCGTGACAGGCGGCACCTTCCTAAAGTGCTCAGCAAATTTTGTTCTCTTATATGCACGAAACTGGCCCCTGGCGTTTTTGTTCTTAGCATAGTTTGCTTTGGCAAACGTTTTTCTGAGATAGCAGGAGGGAACTTTTGGCCAGATCATAGCTGTAGACTCTTGGAATGAATGGTCCCCCTCAAGCCCTCAAGCAACTAACTACAGCTGGAGAGTCCCAGAGCTGGCTGCCCAGTTGCTACTGCTCTCCCCAACTCCAGGCTGCCTGTTCCCCCACACACACATATCACATGCTGTCACAAGGTCTGGACTTGCTGATGGGGGGCAGGGGTCATGGCCTTTAGCAAGCCAGCCCACACAGGAGCTCACCCACCGATCTGAACAGGAGCCAGGAAGTTTAAAAGAGTTCCTTTTTTAAAATCTGTACTTATACATCCTCATGGGTCCCACCCCCCGCCTCCACCAACTGTCACTCACCCACCCAGCATGAAAGGGGAAACACACGTGTCACATGAGCCAACAGTTTCTTCTAGGAAGCCCAGGGAGCTGGGGTAGGTGGCCAAGACGACCACCCCTGCTCAAAGTGCATCCTGCCACCTGTGTACACCTTGGTCTACCCCCATTTCTCTTGGTCCCTAAGCAGTGCCCACTGGCCTGGTACCCAGAAGAACATCTGTACGTGTGACTCCGAGTGTCTCAGTCACAGAGGAGGTGACAGGCCCAGAGGCGCAGAGGAGAGCTCCAAAGGGCACCCCCCCCATGGCCCTTCAAGAAACCTAGGACTCCAGGAAGGAGAAGGCTTGGGGCAGCCCTGGGTACCCCTCCGAACCCTGGGGACTACCCATATGACACGGAGAAACGCTGGTCTAAGTCCTTCAAGAGAGGATTTCCAGGGAGATTTAGGAATCACTCCAGGAAGCCCTAATCCTGCTTTCCTAAGGCTCAGTGCAGCCCAGACTGTTCGGCTTGCCCACGGAGGGGCTCCAGGTTCCGTGGCAGGGCTTCCTGCCTGCCTGCCAAGGATTTGAACGGGAAGAGAGCAGTCTCCTCCCTGGGTGTGGCAGGCTCTCAGAGCTGCTGCAGATCCCTGGAGGTTGGTGTGGGCCTTGAGGATTCTACCCAGCTCTGGACATTTCCCTAGCAGGGCAGAGCAAGGCAGCAAGCAGAGGCGTCACCCCTGGAGAGCTCAGCTTTGCAGAATGTCCCCTAGGAATTCAGGGGCAGCGCTGATCCCTGTATTCCTTCTAGCCTGGCCTGAACCTCAAACATTTAACACCGGCAAGACGGTGTCCTGTGTTAGCATCTCTAGAAAGGCCACACGGTGACCCTGGAGGCTGGGGCTTCTCACTGGAGGGGTATTTGCTCGTAAGCCACATGCAGATCCCCAGAGGCTGTGTTCCAAACTCCCAGAAATTAGGACCCTGGCCTGGCTTCAGGGCCCGTGGAGCAAGACACAAATGGGGCTGTGCATACGGATAGCACCGGCCACTAGGGGGCATCAGGGTTCCACTAGTGGCCAGCCTGGCCCTGAACTTCCTGGAGTGGGGGGTTCTCCCAGAGGGAGGCAAAGCTCAATCTCTTAAGACTCTCAGCAGCCAGGGAACCCAAGGCCTTCTCGATCCATGCTGGCTTTAAGTCCAACTGACTATACAGGATGCTGGGCCTAGCTCTGTGTAATTCTCTTCCAGAAGATAGCTTCTATTTAGAGAGAATTAGAAACACCACCTCCAGGCCCTTTTGTAGGAAAGGGGGCAGGGAAGACCTAGAAAATGTCTTTCTTCTCCAAGGAGTCCTGTACTGCAGATGGGAGGCTCTATTCTAGGTGGGCGCCCAGGCAGGAATGAAGGAAGAATTAGGGGCAGCAAGAGAGATTCGAGAGGCAGAGGTGGCAGGCGAGGTGGCATGGGTAGGCGAAGTGGCAGTGGCCTCAGGTGAGTGGGCTTTCCTGGGACATTTCTGTCAGGATGTCGATGAGGTTGTTCAGCCCTGAGAGGTAACCATCCTCCCGGTTCCCCTCCTGCCAGGGGACATCGTGTTGTAGGGTTTGGCCTTCTGGTAGGGGTGTGGTCTTCCCAAAGTCAATCATCCACACCTTGGCTTGCTCCTTCTTGTCGTGGATGAAGAGGAGGGAGCTGCCAATGACCTGGAGGGAAGCAGGACTGTGAGAAAGGGAACAGGGAAGCAGGGCCGGGACAGGGGTGGGGTAGACATGACATGACAGGGCCAGGAGGAGGGAGGGGAGCAGAGACTGGAGGAGAGTAGGGCCTGGAAGTGAGCAGGGCTGTGAGGAGACACAGCTGGGGTACCCAGATATCTGAGGGAGGTGTGGGTCAGCCGTTTCACTTCCTATTGGAACTAGGGGTGATGGCGATGGGTGCTGAACAAGCGGTACAATGTGCCTGTCAAGGCTGAAGACGCAGTATCCTACCTCGTGGCATTTGAAGAAGGGAGAGACTTCCAGGGTTTCACGAATGGCCTTCAGCCGGTCCCGGTAGGCGATCTGAGGACAGAGACAGACAAGAGTGTCACATACTCCGTGTGTGTGTGTGTGTGTGTGTGTGTGTGTGTGTGTGTGTGTGTAGGCGTGGGGGTCACTGAGTTACAAGTAGCAGTGACCATGTACAAATCGCTTACCCCAACCTCCTCATCTACTCCAGCTTTCCCAGAGGAATATGTGGCTCCTCAACTTCCTCCATGAGGGGGCAGCCCATCCCTGCATGCCAGCCAGAAGAGGCAGAGCCCAGAACTGGTTGCCATGGTAACTTCCTGAGCACAGAGTGCTGTGCCCCTGACTTAACTGAGGGAAAGCCCATGGTATCTCTCTAAGCGTCTCCTCCAGACAGCCCCCAGATCCTCCTATGTTGGCAATGGGGTCTCTGATCATCCCCAACAGCCAGCCTCTGTGAGTCTCATCACCCGGGGACCTGTGTCAGGCCAACTTAGGTATGAATCCTACTCAGTCTTTTCCTACCTATGCGTCCTTGACCTCTCAAATCTTCCTGTCTGTCAAACTGAGACAAGAATGTCTGCTTACTTGTCCTCACCAGAGGGCTACTGAGGGGTTGTGGTGAAAACTCAGTTCAACACCGAGCCAGCAACAGGTGCTAAAGAACTCCTGCCGTAGCTGTTCCCTGACATGGAAGGGCAGGGTGCTGGGGCAGAGGGACTGAGGAGGATTAGTCAGTGTTCCCCAGCTTCTCTGAGCACAGATTCTGGGGACAGTCACATCATCTTCCTACACAAATATAGGGCTAGGGTTTCAGCACCACTCCTGGCCCTTGTCAGGACAGAGAAGGGATGGCCCCCCGACCCCAGGCCCTGACTCACCAGGATGTTCCGGTTTCCTTTTGTGAACTCTCTGAAGGCCTCGGTGACCTGCTCCCTCGTCTTGGTCTTCTTGAAGTCTCGGTTCACAGAGCCATCTTCCTTCTGAGGAGGGAGTCAGCAGAGGGCCCATGGGACAGACTGTCCATGATCGTGACCCTCACGATGCTCTGCGAAGATGGTCAGGTGCCCAGAAATGGTACAGCAAGCCAGGAGCAACCAGGCAATTGTCACAGACCCAACAGAGGAGGCCAGGGTGGTGTTGGGTGCCTGGCCCCAGGCTGCCTTAGGAAGTCCTGGCATTGGGAGGGACGTCTGAGACAACAATGGAGAAGCACCCTGCTCTAAGTAAGGGCAGCAGGGGCCCCGGGGAATGGACAGCTTCACTTCCTGCTCAGGAGCTTGGTCCCTGGACCCATGCGTGACTAATGGTCTGACCTGCTGCTGTGCTAGCAGCCATCTGGATGGTCAGGAAATGTGCGTGCGTGCATATATACATCCATACATACATGTGTGGATATATGTGCACGTGTTCCTATCGATGTTCTAGAATGCAGACATTCAGTTTGGATCATGTAATGCACTGCAGATCGAGGGGCTGCTCTGAAGATTTTCCCCAAAGCCAAGGTTTAAGCCCACATCGCTGCATCTCTGCTCCATGATTCAGCATCTCCACGTTCTGAGCCCAGCACTCCTTCTGTGTAGGACGGCCTGGGCAAACACACAGAGTGCTGCTCTTTTGAGACAAAGGGGGAGAAAGCGTGGGTCCAGCAGGAGCCATGACACTTGCACCAGTCCGCCTCCGCTTGGAGGCAGGTGAGAGCTGAAACATCAGGAAGACGCCCTGCAGGAAAACAGCAGGCAGCGGGCTCTCAGGGAGCAAGAGAGGGGACCTCAGGGAAACCATCCTCTCTGCTAGCGAAGACGAGGAAGGACAGGTGACAGTGTACACAGTCAGCCCCTCTGAGCCAGTGGAGGCTGTCAGCTGTGTGATGCAGAGACCAGAGACCAGGAGCACGTGTGCCTGCATGACAGGTGCCATGACATGCTATTCAGACAGACCATATATATAGAGAGAGGATATGTTTTTGTAATTTGCATCCAATCAGAGAGCTGGATATTGCCAAGAGGAAAGGCTGGATTCAAAAGACAAGGAAGGGCAAATGGCTTTCTCAAACCGCAGCTCTAGAAGCCTGTGAGACACTGGTGATCAACCATGGGAACTCACATCTACATACTATGTGAGAGAAGGCTGCAGAAGCCTCCCCTTATTTCAGCTACCCAACTCTGACTCCAGGCTGGAGAAGAGGCCCCAGAACACCAAGCTTGGGCAGAGAAAGGGAGGACCAGGGCCTCAGGGTGCACTGCCACCTTCCCTGAAGGGACGGCCACCTGGGACAATGTGGAGCCTGTGTCTCTTCTCCCTGCTCCTAGCTGGGTCTTGCAAATCTGGTACCCAGGGACCTGGACTGGAACACAGGGACAAGGACAGTCTTCTGAGGTCCTTCTCAGGGCATCCAAGAAGAAAGGCTGGGGGATGCAGTTTCCAGGGTGATCCCAGGTAACCACACACCTCCCCTCCTCTGTACCTCACTGGCAGTGAACCGACACCTTCCCTGTGGCAGGTATATAAACTGGTTCCTATGTGGGCCCTCTGTACAGCTGTCCAGATAAGTCACCCCAACCCCAAGGTCTGATGGTCCTCCATAGCCAGTCCACCTGCACGTAAGACTGCAGAATGGGCCAACGCCCTCAAAGCTGGCTGTCCACACTTGGGCCTGTACAGGTGAGGTGTACAGACTCTGGCACCCCAAGGCCTCCTTTATTACCGAGAACCAAGAGGCCTCAGCAACCTCAGGCCACACCTCACAGCTCTCACCTTGATGCCCTCGATCCTGAAGCCCAGGGTAGCTGTGGAGCTGATAGTTTCCCGCCACTGCATGTAACGTGGTTTGGTCACAGCTCGCTGGGCTTTTTCCTCCTCAGTGGGGGCCTCGGGGTCCACCTCAACCATCTTCTGGTACATGTCCTTCCGCAAGCTAGGCTTCTTCCGGGCCTTGGTGAGTTCTTCCTCCAGGTATGTCCTGCATGGGAGATGAAGGACTTGAGTGTTGGGGCTAGGACACAGCCAGCTCCCTGTAGTCATGTCTGGTGGATGAAAACCCTGAGCTGGCTGTGTCTTGTCCCAGGACAATAGTCAATATAGCAACATCTAAGATGAGGAGAGACAGAGAGCCATGCACTGTCTGGGCTGATTTGAGAAAGGGTCTCCTCAATGCACCCAGAGCACCTAGATGCTGGGATCACGGTGAAGGCCTGATAAGCTCAGAAAGCCCAACAAGGAGGCTCTTCTAGAAATGGCCGGAGAGTGGTCAGTCTGTGAAAAAGAGACAAAGGGCGGGGTTCCCCCTTGGAACTCTGCTGTGCCCCGGCAGCCTGGAAAGCATATTCTGTCCTTCCAATCTGCCTCCCTGTCCTCTCGAATGGTGAGGTGGGGCTGCATCTCTGGCATTTTGCAGCAGGGGAATCTGCAATGGCCTATGCTGGAGAGGGCTGCCCAGGGCTCTGCAGCCCAGGTGTGCTTCAGAGATAAAACTGGCACCCCTACCCCACCCCTCTCCACACGAGGTCACCAAGCCTCCGATCCCGGAAGACAAACACGCTCAGTCTCATGTGCTTCCCTGTGCACAGTAAGGAGAGAGTCTGCATGTTGACCCGATGGGGACACTGAGCCCCCAGGGGAGGTGTCAGGCAGAGACACGCCAGGCTCACAGCAGCCTGGGGCAGAGTCATTGGCCCAGAACTCTGCGGACCAATCCTGGTCTTAGCGCTATGCCCACAAACTCCCACCACCACCCCCTCCAGCTGGGAGCATGACACCCCAGTCTTCTCCCCTGCTACAGCCCTTCCACCCATGTGCATGCTGCCCAGGGCCCTTGTGAGGCAGCAGTCAGCAGTTAGCTGCAGGATAGGGAAGTGGGCCCCCTGTGGCCTGCGTGGGTGTGAGCTGCCTGCAGAGGCACCCTCCCTTCCCTCTCCGTCCACTGGTCTCCCCCGCCCGCCAGGCACTGTCCCAATACATCTCCCCACATCATTCCCTGACTGCTAGTCTGGGTCCCGGAACAGACAGAACGAAAGAGATTATTTCAGAAGCCCCTGCACCCATTTGGTATTTACACGGGAAGGAAACTCCCAGCTTCCCGGGAGACACGTGTACAAACGTGTCCTGGTTGTTTAGGAAGGGGAGGGTGCATTAGCCTCCGGTTGGATCTGTGCGCGTGTCCGTGCACGCTGGTGCCCACAGCACACCCCTGTGCATGCAAACACCAAGTTGTCAGGGGCCTGTGGACCGTGGGGGAGGAATTCACGCCTGACACTCATGAGGGTGCAGCGCAGGCCTGCAGGGCGGGCAGTGATAACTTCTACAAAGGGTTCTCAGTAGCTCCTTAAACAGGAAGCGGACACGGATGTCACCGTCCTGTTCACATGGACTTCTCTTCAAAAGGGGCCCCAGAGCGCCCTCTAGGCAGAGTCACTTGCTCCTCAGGCACAGAACAAGGCTTGAAGGAGATGTTCCTGATGGACGCAGGCTGGCTGGGTAACAGGTCCATCAGAGGAACCGTCACTACCTATCGCTGCCTTGCTGCAGAGGGAGAGCCTGAGCTCCAGCCCTTATGGAGGAGCGGAGACCTGTTCATCGACTTCTGGAACTCAGAGAATAAATCTGGGGTGGCAGAGACCTGCTCCGTGGCTGACTCAAGAGAAAGTAAGGGAGGTGCTAAGTCCATGGAGCAAGGCCAGAGCAGCTTCTCTGGGGCCCAGGGGGCTGGATGACAGAAGGTACAGCCACAGCGAGTGGGAAGTTATGAGCCCAAGGATAGAGCAGTGTGAGCACCTGCTCACCTGAAGCCGGGTCCCTAGAAACACCCTGGCTTAAGATGCCACCAGGGCCTATATGCCTTCCATCAGTACCATCACGTTTTACACATGGCTAAGGCTGGCTCGGCTGATGGCCTTCTCACCATTTTCGTAAGCCTCTGTCTCAGGCCCTGAGACTTGGTGTCTGACAAGGACGCATGAACCAGCCTCTTCCTGCAGCTAGGACATCCTCTAGGGACAGCCACAGACTGCTTATCTTGGTGCAGGCACAGAGGGCTGTGTTTCTGTGCTACTGTGCTTGGGAGAAAGCCACAAGTTACAGCCCAAAGAGGACTCCAGGGACCACTGTGGAAACTGGATCCCTGCATGTCTCCACGGAGGGCAGGCCACAGTTGAGGCGCTGGTGTGAAGTCCACAGGCCTGGGCACATTGTACCATGTTGCTACCTAAATAGGTGTCCCTGAAGACTCCTGCTCAAATGGTAGTATAGGCTACCCTCCCAGTGTGGCTTGCTGTGGACATGCAGGGGACAGTATGGCTGAGGCACCTAGTATAGTGTTCAGAGCTCTGTGTGTAGGGAAGATAGAGGTGGGGTGAGTGCCACTTCCGGGGAGATCTCTCCTTCCCTAACCCCACCAGGATGGGGTTAACTAAGCCCTTTGGATAGGAGAGCTCTGAGGTATAAAGAGGGAGAAGCTATTAAGCTCTAGGAGATGAGGGAAGCCTGGGGGAATGGTGCCCTGTCTCTGTGGCTTCCCAGGGAGCAGCCAGCCACACAAGGCAGGAGGCTCGGGCAGTGCTGAATTTCAGGTACAGTTGGCTTGTCTGGGCACCTGTAAGAATGTAGGTGGTGGGACTGTACCCACCTCCTCCTGCAGGCAGACTGAGCCCTGGTCTTCCCATGTTGGAAGGAAGGGCAGGGCCTCTGCCTGAGTGGACATATCCTAGTGCATTGTGGGAAGAATTTCCTAGAGGCAGAAATAAGGTATCCAGGATCCGAGGCTGTGCGGTGGTTGCAGGGACATTCTACTTTCTCCCTCACCCACCTAGCTTCATGTGGGCCAAGATATCCAGGGCTTTGGAACACAGGAGGAGGTGGCTAATGACGGGAAGAGCCAACAACAGGGCCTGTATTTCTCCACGACCTCCTCCCAACCCTGGGGACAAGGGCAAGGGGACATGTCTTAGCTGGCAAGGGCTGGCTTTAGGACAGAACTCCAAGGAGGAATGAGAAGGAAAGAAAGGAACTTTGATTGGCAGAATTCAAGCACACTGAGCTAGCTCTTCCTTCCTCCTTCTCGACATCTTCATATAAGAAACACAATATCGGCAGAGGCAGGTGGCTCTCTGTGAGCTCGAGGCCAGCCTGGTCTACAAAGCGAGTCCAGGACAGCCAAGGCTACACAGAGAAACCTTGTCTTGAAACGAAGAAGAAAGAGGAGGAGGAGAAGAGGAGGAGGAGGAAACACAACATTTGAGGGACTGGGGAGATAGTAAAGTGTTCGCCACACAAACATAAGGACATGAGTTCAACCCCCAGAACCCACAAGGTGGTGTGAGCGTGTCATCCTAGCACGAGACGAGTAGAGACTGAAGATGGTGGGTTCCTGGGCTGGATGGTCACTCAACCCATCCAATCAGAGAGGCTGAAGCCATGAGAGATGTCTTAAAAAACAAGTTGGACAGGTCCTTGAGGGACAACACCTAAGGTTGACCTCTGGCACATCTATACATAAAAACACACACTCATGCAGCCACCATGTGCTAAAGAAATAGACCAGCTGGACTCTTCAAATCCGATATAGGCTTCAGCTCTGAGCTCAGTCTACTGCCCAGTGTGAGTGTCTGCAGCCAAAATCAGGCTCCCTGGGCTGGACATGCCACACTGAAAATCTCAGAGGCTGAAGGTAGGGGTGCTGTCTGCTTCCTCCTGAGGCTCTATGCCCTCCAGACTATGGAGCTCAGCCCAGGCTTTGGTGCTCTTGGCAAGGTCTGGAATCACCCCAAGGCCCACCCACCAACAGGGGCCTCTGCAACTCCTCATCTTCTCTGGCTCACTAGAGAAGAGAAGCTCTTGACAGGACAGAGCCAGCGTCCCCGTGTCCTCCACACAGCCAGGCACGATGGGAAGGGACGTACCCTGAAAGAAGCCTGGCTCACCTGACGCCCATCTTGCAGTCCATCACGCAAGGCGAGTCGAAGTCGGCCAGCAGGTCGTCCATCTGGTTGTAGCGCTCCCCGTCCTTCACCACGTCCCCGTGGTAGGCTGGCACGAAGGGTCTCAGCACATCGGCCATCAGCCGGTCCAGGCAGCGCTGTTCAGACTCACAGTGCTTCTTTAGGATGCGGCCATTGGCAGCTGCCTTGAAGCTCCCTGCAGTTAAGTAGGAGGAGAGCCACTAGCCTCAGAGGAAGCCAGGCAGAGCTGGGACCCCTCCCCCCTCGCAACAGCCCCTTGGAAGCTGCATCAGAATCCCCACTCCTACTGCAGCACTGGCTAACCTGAGGGTTGAAGGTGTGGCCATTTGTAGACAGGCCCCTTACAGCAAATGGCCTCTAGACCTGGCTGCCACCTGGCTGCTCCGCCTCCTCTGTCTCCAAGCTCCTCACCTCCAAGGACTGTACAGCTCCACCCACTCCTCACTACTCTGAGCACCTGCCCCCACCTCTACTTCTTCAGCAAGCAGGTGTCCCAGGTCTTAGGAGAAAACTCTCAGTGCCTCAACAGGGGACAGAGTAGGCTAAAGAGTGTGTGTCCCAGGCACGGGCTGTCTGGGCAATGCTCCTTCAGGGCCACACGCGCAGGGAGTATTTACGCGTCTTGGTCTAAGCCTTGTTGGCCTGTAAAGAACGCGCAGGCCCGTGACTTCACAGGGGCCAGGCCCGCAGGTGGCTATGGAGGTTTCCCCAGAGGACACGGCGCGGCAAAGGGCTCCATATGGGGGCTGGCTGATGCTGCCAGCACCTTGGTAGCTAGGGGGTGACTTGGCTGCTTCTCCCCCAGGTCAAGTCCCTTCCGGGTGGAGACTGTCTCCTCGGATGTTGCAGCCCGCAGAACGGGGCAATGCAGGCGCACTTACAAGTCAGTGTGGGGGTGGCACCCTCGGCCAGGTCTGTCGTAAGGCTGTTGTCTACCGGAGCGCCCTGCCCAAGGCCCCCTCCCACACTGACCCGGAAAGTCTGGGGGAGCCGCGTCTACTACCTGCATGTCCGGCCAGCTGGATCCAGGGGTACTTCTTCTTGAAGGACATGACAAAGGGGGACCAGTGCACCATATTCTTTATCTTCCTCCATGACTTGCTCTAGAAAGCAGCAAACAGAACGCCCTGAGTGACAGGTACATCCACCCATTCTGATGAGAATCAGTTCAAACAAGGAAACTCAATGCCCAGGGGCCACACAGACGGCTCAGGCGCCCACAGGTGGCCTCCCAACACCTTGTTGGCCCTGTAAAGAAGACAGCTTTGCCACAGTTTACAAACAGGTTGAGCAAGGAGCCCAGGGGATTTCTTAGGGGCTGTTCATGGGCAAGTGAAGGAGGCAAGCACAGTGCTCCGAATCCAGGGCTCCTTAACCCAGCCCCTCCTCCGGCAGCAAACGATGAAGCCCACGTTGCTCCTTTTCACGTACTCTCCCACTGCCTTGGCTTCACCATCTGTCTGGTGGGGGGCAGACAGCTATTCCAGCAGGTTCTCGGGACTCATGGGTACTAGGATTCTGGAAAATTACTTCCTTTGTACCAAAGCAGCGATCTTGGACTAGAGGGTCACTGTCACTCGGCAGCAAGGGCGTCACTGCACATTTTATCTGCACACGTTATGATAAATGAACACTGATGAAGCGCTCCACAGAGGGGCCATGCTACAGGGATGTGACACCTTAAACGAAAGGGACAGAGTCATTTCTAAGTGTGGCCCATGTCGTCTTTTGCAAGGCAGTCAGAAAAGGAATGGTAGGATCGGGGTAAGGGGAGGTAAGGGAGCTCCCGGCACAGGCTTTGGGGTTGGGGGGGGTTCTTCCCCACTTCTTTCAAAGTGCAGTAGCTATCAGCAAGGGCCTGGCACAACACCAAGGGCCCTTTATCCAAACATGGTGGACTCTCTAGGCGGGGAGAGTGGTGGCAGGCGGCCTTTCCAGGGCCAGGCAGGTGTTGGTTCTTACAGCCCAGCTCTCCATGGCTTTCAAGAGGCTCTGGCCTCAGCCTTGGCATAGCCATGGCTGGGCTGTTGCTGTGGAGCAGATCTCCAGGAGACAGCCACTGCAAGATCCTTGCCTGCATCATGCCCTCCTCCCAGTACCTGTCTGATGAGTCCTCTGCCAGGCTCGGGACTTATCACCCCACTAAACGAAGAGCTGAAGTGACCCACTGCCCTCCATGGTCAGCTGTTGTCTAAACACTGCCTAGACCCCACAGGGCTGGTCTCTGTCCATAGAGGCGGGGTGACGGAGCCAAGAGCCACCAAGCTTTGGAGTGCAGAGGCCTGTTCTCCCAGGTCCCACGGCCCTTGGATGGACAAGCAGCGACCTCAGTGCCCCCATCTGTAACTGGGTCCCCTGTGGCCCCGTGGAGTCTCCGGTGATACAGGCCTTCCTCCTGCCATGTGCTCTGCTCTGCACATGGCAAAGGTCAGGCAAGCCATAAATACTCACTTTGTCCTGACTTCTGATTCTTCTTGTTTATTTTATTTTTCCTCCAAGACACAGACACAGTGCTGGCAAGAATTCACCAGACATTTCCAAAGAGCCAGAGGGAAAGTGGGGTGGCCATGAGGTGAGCCAATGTGATTAACCATTTATAAAGCCCCGCCCTCAGGCCCACAGTGCTAGATTCTGACCACACAGTCAGAGCCTCCAGAGCCTAGTGTCTCCATCTCTTTCTGTCTAGAGCAGTGGTTTTCAACCTTCCTATCGCCAGGATCCTTTAATGCAGTTCCTTGTGTTGTGGTGACGCCCCAACCATAAAATTATTTTCGTTGCTACTTCATAACTGTAATTTTGCTACTGTTAGGAATTGTAATGTAAATATCTGATTTGCAGGATGGTCTTAGGTGACCCCCGTGAAAGGGTCCTTCAACCCACGCAAAGGGGTCGTGATCCACAGGTTGAGAACCACTGTTCTAGAAAGTCAATGAAGCTGGATCCCCAAATGGCCAACATCACCTATGGGGCAGGGGCATATTTTGTGGGTCAACAAAACTGATCCCACAAGGAGGTTAGACTCTTTGCGAAAGTCCCTTCCCGCCTGACCCAGGGCTCCAGCTAGCTACCTTCCCTCTAGCAGGTCTCTCTTATCTCAATAATTTGATGGCTCTGTATTTATTTTTATAATGTTCAAGGAAAAAAATCTCTCCCCTGCTCCCTCTCTTTAGGGGGAGAGAGATGGGGGTGAAATACCTAAAATATCACTGCACCTCAGCTCTCCTAAAATCCTGTCCGACTAAGGCTGGACTATGTGCGCACAGGGAAATCCCGTGTTGAGTGTCTGTGGCGTTGCTAGGTACCGTGCTGACATCAAGGGAAGCCTCTTGGCGCTGGCGGGCTTGTTTCCATTTTGCTCGGAGACATTAGCACTGCTCCAGGTCACACAGCCTCCAACTCTTTGCCATTTAACTCTGAAGACTTTGTCTCAGCCAACAGGATGAGACGCCCCTCGTCTCTCCCCTAGTTATAAAACAGCCTCACACAGACAGCGAGCACTTTGTCACTTTGTCACAAGACTGACCTTTCGGACGGGGGAGGCCTGAACAGACCTGCCCTCCCCTCCCTCTGAGTCCCAGGCTTTTCCCAGAAGGCCCTGGCTGACACACACTCGGGCAAGGCACATTTGACAGACGGTGGATGGGAAACGGCTCTTTCTGGGTTAGACCTTCTGTTCTGCTCTTGCCGAAGTCAAAGACAAAGTCACTGAGTTCTCCATGTTTGGGAAAATGCCCTCCCCCCCCCCCTTCTCTTTTCTTTTGGTCTTTCCATAAAAGCAGCTAGGGTTTCCCTAGTGATCCGTGCCCGCCCTCTCTGGGGGAAAGCCTGGTGCTTCTCCTCCCAGGCCTCACGGCCAACTTTGTTCATTGTGCTCTCCTGGCAGAGGTCCCAGGAGGTTGGTGTGGTGCAGGCCCAGGCAGGTAGGACACTCAATGACCCTTCCTGGATCCTGCTTAGAAACTGTCTGCCGCAAATGCCAGTGAGCTGCGCTCCGAGGGGACAAGAGAGAACGAAAGGCCCAGTAGCTGCTAAGGCAGAAAACTGCAGCTAAAGACAAGACTGTACCTACGACTGACCACCCCCCCCCCTTGAACGAACAGTGCTTTCAAACCAAGCGAAGAAGCCTCAGCCTTGTTGCACTACCTTCCCACCTAGCCACAAGGGGGCAGCGTGGACTGTTTTTAGAACTGTTCTTATCTTTACTCCCTGCACAGGATGGGAATTAACCCAGAAAGCTGAGCCACTCGTGAGCCCAGGAGGGCTAAGCACGCCTTATGTGAAATCCCTGGGACCAGAACTGCTTCCGACTTTTCCCGGACCTCACAGTACGTGCACTTACACCTCGCTGCATCTTTTAGACGGGACCCAGGTCCCCAAGGTGAAACTCCTTTTGTTTCACACACACCTCGTTCCCACAGCCCAGACGTGATCTTACTCCTTCAGTGCACCTGCGTTTTGACTGTGACTCCTCGGGCGAGGTTAGGTACACAGTTTCCGGTGTGCAGCGACCATGAACACGTTCAGAATGCTTCGGAGGGTGGGACATTTTGGAGTAGGGATACTCATTCTGTAGCTCCTTCGGAATCTCTTGCTGGCCTGGGGCAGGAGAGCGAGGGTGGCTGATCCTCACGAGCACCAAGCCCTGGCTGCTCAGGCATGGGAGACAGCACCTTGCTGAGGACCAGCTGTAAGTCAGTGTACTTCTACCAGCACATCCTGGGCAGAGACAGGAAGCCTCGGTGTAGCTCCCCAGGGGCCCTCCCGCTCAGCTGCCTTTTTCTGTTGCAACTCAGGTCTCAGTTTCTAGAGCAGGGGCAGAAATGTTGCCAGGGATGCTTCACCAGCCACTCTCCTTCCCTCCCTCCCTCCCATTCAGAACCTGGGAAAAGGCCTTGGACACAGCTAGCAAGGACAGGCCTGCCCCCAGGAATGCCATCATGGCTCCCTAACACCCTATCACCTAACAGAGAAAGAAGGTCCCAGCACAGATGCAGGGCTACTCTGGATGTCCCCCTATACTCACTTCACACTCTGACTCTCTTGCATGCCTGACACCCTGCGGGGCATGCCATTTTCCTATCCATCTCCAGGTTGTGCAGCCCTCATCCACAATGCCGGAGACCCGAAAGGTTTTGGGTTTCAGGCTATTTTCTTCCCTTCCCTTCTTGGTCTGGGACTCTGGAGTGCCTGAGAGCCACCCCATGCAGCTAGGACACTAGGGACAGCGGCGAAGAAAGCTCTCCCACCAGAGACCTTGCTTCAAGTCACTCTTCTCCCCAAGCCTGACTTTCCTGTGCTGCCACCCAAGGGCCCTGCAGTCTTTGCTGTTGCTACCCAAGAACTGAGGTGTTCTTGCGCTCCTTGGCCTCCCTGCTAGGCGGCCTAGCAATCTGCGTCTCTGGTGTGAAGGTCACCACTTGGCTTCTTCCCTCCTCCTCATCCTCCTCCTCCTCCTCCCAGAACTAAAAATAATGGCAGCTGAAGAGGAGGAGGCAGCAGATGAGGAAACGCCTGACCATGCAGAAGCCATGCCTGCACCAGGAGCTGGCCCGCCTCGGCCTCCCTCAGGCTCAGATGGCCGCATCAGGCCTAGAGGGAAGTAACAATAGTCGGAAACTGGGAGGGCCAACAGGAAGACGGAGGGGGGCAGGCTCAGTCCTCTTCCTCATGGAAAAAGGCAGAGGACAAAGGACAGTTAGCTTTGTCTGGGAAAGGGAGCCAGGCATCATGGCTGTCCCACAACCCTCCCCAGGCCCCCTCCCTCTCGGCCTCCCCAGAGATTTTTATTTTTACTTTGGTAAATCCAAAAGAAAAAAAACAAAAAAAACAAAAAACAAGGCCGAGCTACTGGAGGGTGGAAATTTACTGAGGGCCTGTGCCGGACAGCAGACAATTGCATCCTCCATCTTAGCCAAGGTGGGCGAGTGAGAGACACTCTCAATACACTTCCTAAGGAGAACTTCACAGGCTTAGGGGCCAGAGCACTTAATCCCGCCTTCTCTGCCCAAGGCTCCACAGGACTGGGGCAGAGCCACAGCGCGTGGAGACAGTAACAAGCAGCTCACGTGTGTTGCTGCATGCCTTTGACAGGCAGATGGCATGC